GACTGCCGCAGCTCTCTCTTTCGCCACAGGAAGCAGAAACAAGACATGCCTTGGCGACTGAGCCCTTTCAGCCTATTTTGAAGGTGCTAAGAGACCTCGAACGCGACGATCCTAAGTTCGCCTTTCCAGCAGGTCGAATTGTCGGACTCTATCGACGCCTATGGGAGTCGTGCGTATCCAAACACATCGATGGCCAGAAGCTAGAGCAGAGCAATCGGATCTTGAAGGAGGCTAGCAGACACCTGACTAAAGAGAGGGACGGACTTCAGCTTCGCCACGAAAAGCAGCTATCTCGGCTGCGCTTCTTTGACCAGGCACTGGAATCATCTCGGGGTCGATTGACTAGGATCCTCGATGACTGGGATCACCCTTGCAGACTCAATCTACCAGGGTTTTTGGACAACGCAGGAGAAGAGTGAAGCATTGCATGTTTATATCTGTCCTATGTCTTACTTTAACAACTTGGAGATAATACGACAGAGCCGCAAATTGAAAATTACCGCATGGAACCATTCTATATCTGGCACGTATTTACAGTAAGAAGGGCATGAATAGCCGTCGTGGAATGCGGTAGAGGCTCCATACTAGGCCATGGGGTCATGCGGAAGCTAATGGCTATTTCACCAATCCTATGTCGGGCGACTGTGTCTAGCAACTGCCTGCCCGCGTACCCGACACAGATTCCCCAGGGCCGTTTCAACCCAGGGAAAAAAATATATGCTCTCCTATAGTCTCGCCAGATGTCGAACCAAACCGAGCTAGTCGACGCTCTATCTATTGCACCTCTTCGGGGGAAAAAAAAGCGAACGCTGACATGTAGAAATTATCGCTAGCCTGAGTAGAAATGAATGGAGAATCTGGACCCGTCTACTTGAAGCCGGAGATATTCTGCAGGCTCGGTTTCATCCTAGATAATATGTCGCGGATCCAGATCCGCGGCAAGACATGAGGGCGTTGTCGATATACCAGAAAACTTCTGCCAGATAGCGTGAAGGTCAAGATCGAAACCACAGTCACTAACTTTAGCACAAAACATGCATTGAAGAAACATGTACGGACAATACTTGCTCATTTCGTCCATTTAAAATTCAGGATCTGCTGGTGGGAAATTACAGAAGTGTATAAAGTAGCGTTTAACGGGTTGGGAGGGACAAGATGCCGCAAGCTGAGTAGAGATGTTATTTATCTTCAATTATAAAAGACCAGGGCACGTTAGGAGGGCTTTACGCCCAGATCCTAAGGTATCGAAAACCAAGCGCTGGAAATATCAACAGCTGTGGAACGTCGACACTTTCGTCAGCAGAACCCGATTAATTTCATCTGCAATTGCATTCGCATTCTCTATAATCAGCGAAAATAACTGGTAGAGAGCACCAGTACATAGCAGAAATATCCAAACGTGTCCTTATCCACGAGCGGCCAACAATACTGAGACCTTGTCAATTCCGATCAACGTGATAGGCTTGAGGATCGCTCGCTTGCAAGGCTGAAAGCACGCCGTTACAAAGGGCCTGAACTGCTCGTTTTCGATCCCACAATACCAGTTTCTGTTCCTCGCAAAGCTGCAGAAGGATGTCACTGTCGCTTGCTAGCCACTCATTCAACTCTTGAAGCTGTCGCTGCTCATCCTCAAGTCGCATCTTCTCGGCAGATTTGACCACGTAGCATTCCCATAGACAAAAGTACAGGTCGAGCAGTTTCAGGGCTGGTGTAGCGAGGGTGTCATTGTATTGTAGAATTTTCATAAACTCCGCCGTCAGGGCACCAGGTGTCACTGGTATCTGCAGAGCATTAGTGTTTCTGTTCGCTTCCTGCTGAAGAGGTATGACCGACCTTGGGCTCGGCGGTTGTGCCGTTTGAAGATTCTTGCGGGTGGTTTTCCAACTTGGACTCATCTTCCCCATCTTGGGATACCCGACGCTGTCTCTTCGCTAGCCGATCAAATGGAGAAGGCGAGGTGGCATGGTCCATCGTGGCTGTAGAAATGAAATGGAGGAAAAAATTACTCGAGAGCCTTTTATAGACCGGCAAAGTGACGCCAAGGCTGCTGTGATTGCACTCGTATCCCCTCAGGTCTGTTTCCAACAGCGTTGAATAGTTCAGTAAACTGTTACTCAACTGTTGATGCTCGATCTCACCTGTTGTTCACCCAAATACTCAGTTATATGAGGAATTGGGCGACAGGTGAAGCCTTGCAACATACATTGTAGATGATATCCCTAATGGTGGCCTGCAAGTGTATTCCTGATGCATTGGATCCTAAATCGAGTAGAGTTCGTTGAAGTTAATTGTAACGTTATTGTGACTGCGAACCATCTGAAGGACGGTGATGCAGATTTCGATTTCAGATAGCGCTTCATATCACGAGAGTTACCTAAATTAAATATCACTCGCTTTTACAGTCCACGGCCCATGTGTCTCCCTGGCAACGGCGCCAAAATCGTTTAACCGGAGTTATCGTCTTCTATCCGGTTCCCAATAATCCTTCGGATGTAATAGTCACTTCCCAACTCTAAAGATCTCCTCAAACTACCATTTTGTCAGTCTTCTACACACTACAAGCGCAAATACAATTGGGACTTATCAAAAAAATGTTAACTTCTTGTTTCCCAAAGCTTAAGCGAAAGCTTCAAAATTCATCCAAAATCTTTTCTCCCTGTCGATCAAAATATCTCCCAGATATCCCTGCTACTGTTTCTGAATCCGAACGCACGCGGCGATCAGCTGCCCCATCCCCAGAGGTGTCCCCAACAAACATAAAAAACCATGGAAAAGAAACAACAGACACCTCGATTGACTTGCAGTCCATCACCACAGAGCGTCACAAAACAGAGTCAAGCTCAACTCATGATCTGACTCAGATCCCGCGAGGAGAGTAGCAGGCTGCAGGTGGGTTGTGCAAAAGCAAAAGCTTTCGGGTGGCCACTTCGGTGGGAAACATGTGACAGTTGCCAGAGAACATCAATCAACTTTCTTTATCGAAGAACACCGTGCTTATCACTGGAGGCATGTAACGGATACAGCTCAACTGAAGGGGTTTCTCGTCTTGAGAAGATCCGGACGACGGATTTTCACGGCTCCGGCCAACCTAAGCACCGCTCGATTTGCCTCTTCGGGCAGTCTTTCCTTGTTTTTGAGAATGCTTCATTGGGGAACACGGCCATGTCAACGCTGTAGGGCATGCTGCTTGGCCACGCATGTACCAATAGAGGCGAATCATGAATTTCCGATTGACCCATGACATCTTTGGCTTGATCCAGGCGAGCATCTAACAAACGCAAAATTTGGTCGGCCCACACCTTTCGTCGAGAGCTATGGCGTCTGCACTCAAAACAAAAAAGTTGCTTTGCAGCCAAAGATAATCTTTGCGCTAAAGGATATGCGAAAGAAGAGTTCTGGGAGAGCTGAAAGCACAATACTCCATTTATCCGGGAATCAATCGGCACGGTGTTTTGACAGTGATCCCATATGCACCGCTCACGGTGCAGGGGATCGCCCAATGCTTGGCCCAATACCCGTTGGAGATGAGTAGGATTCCAGGCCATGATGAGGAATAGCTGTAAATGCCTCGGGGTGATTGTGAGATCTGGGGTGTAATCTTCCGTTTGGAGAGTTCTATTCTCGAGTGGTATCTGTGATCAAGTAGGAAGAGTGCAATATATAGATGCTTGAGAAAGCACGTAGTGGGACTTTATTCTCGCTGGGCCCTTACATGCCTGAGCATGAAGTCTGGGCTTATTTGGCGACCGAAATTTCTCGTCTCATTCCTGGAAAGACGGTGTTAATTCCTGGGAGCTCTAGTCGCATTGTTCAAGGTTATACATGAAGCATACTCGATGCGTGGAGAAATGATATGCGGGACATGCATCCTGGCTCCCTTGAACGCGAGGAAGCAGAAGCGGCTTTCTCGCCCTACATCTTGTAGTTAGAGTCAACTATATTTGTTCTTAACATTGATAGTTCATCTTGAAACACCATCCACCTCTATGTATACGTGAGACCCTCACGAGACAAGGGAGATCCCAGGACTAATATGTGGATTCCCACTGGCCGATACAGCCGCCAACAAAAATATCAATGGATCAATAACGTCCTGCAAGCTTCGTACAATTTCCTGGCTATGTAATTCCTGGATGCCTCACATGTTTCCGAAGTCAGCTTTGTAAAGTCCCTACACATACTGTACAACGGTTGACGAAAAAAATTTATACACAGGTGATCGACAGCCAACATGTCTTTTGCACCAAGCAACTCCAGGATGAGCTTTAACGTGACGACACTGCTGTAACATCGGCCATGATCGGTTGGCTAGTCAAATCAAAAGATGGAAACGCATTAAATTCAGTCAATCAATCTAATCCTTGAGCGGTCTTAGCAATTCTGTAGTGTGTGGCTTTCGGTGCGGCTGAATGGTGAGGCAATATTAGACCCCGAGGCGTCGGAAATACAACTCCCTTCCACACGTTCCTATTCATGACCAACTATGATCTGGCAGCCATGTTGCTCCTGGGAATATCCTTCAAATTAATTGGTGGCTCGGGCTCCATGTGGATACGGATATCCTTGGTCCCATCATCGCGTTGGTGTATGTACCGCGATTGGGGCAACTTGTCTTTCTCTATATGAAGGTCATGCTCTAAGTTGCTACTGTAAGCGCCTTGCAGATCGCAGTAACGAATTCTGGTTATAAACTGTCACACGTGAGTGATTGACGATCGCTTCAGATTTCTAGTTCTTCTAATAATGCATTGAACCATTGACGAAGCCATATACTATATGTACTAACTATTTCCAGCAAATTGACAGATACAACAGGTAGACGAAGGCAAGATTTATAGTCACATTATCACGGTTCACTCCTTCCCCACCAGGGGCAAACAATAGGCGTATTCACTTAAATTATTATAAGCGTCTGGTTCATGGACAGTATAGAAGGCTCTGGGCCGGCCTGAAAAAGATAATATAGATCAGCACAGTGAAATATAATTGTGAAACGGCGGTTAGGCTGTGATACTCACTCCGACAAGGCTGAAATGGGCCACATTAAATTGGCCGGTTCCTGCCGAGAGCCAAGTGGGAACAGTGACAGTGAAGTTCTGGTAAGGCGGCAGGTAGGTCTCGTGGTACACGGGGTCGAATGAACCACTATAAACAATTGAACCCATTTGTTCGGAGGCAGCATAGCAGCCGTAGGCGCAATCGGAAATGCCGATAGCAACCCCAACTTCATAATAAGCGGAAGCCGTGGTCTAGGATGCAATTAGAAAGTCGGCCTCATAATAAGAAATAGCAGTGTCAACATACAGGAAGCTGGACTTGAACAATCAGCTCGTCACCGCGGGCCACTGTCTGGCCAGTCTTAGGAAGTCCGATCACGGCTTGCTGAGCTAGAGCGACGCCGGCAAATGCGACGAGAGAGAAGAGGAACTTCATGGTTAGGATTAAATAGAAGCAAAGTTGATTCTGACTGAAAGAGCTCGGGCTAAAGTCTGGGCTTATATACTTCAGCTCCCCTAAACCTCTCTGAACTTTCTAAAACGTCGTTGCAGAAAGAATTCAAAAGGGCCAAAGAGTGGAGTAAAATCCTCCAGGTACACCAATCGGAGACGTCAATCCGGGGTATCGGGAGGACAGCCAGATCACCGTTCTCGAATACCAATAGCCGACCGCCCCCTCCCACCACACAACCACCATCGCGGGTAGGGGGTGTCCCACAGCCATAATGCAATTAACAGCCATAATGCAAATTTTCAATTTCTTTAACTTCTGGCTCATTTTTTAGACGTATAAGGTCTAGCATCCATGAAATAAAGCCCATCAATAGCCTCATTAGCCAATAATGTATCATCCTCCTCATTTTCAAGTGTTTCCTCCAATTCCTTAGCCGCCAAATCGTCCGCCATTTTCTCTGCGTCTTTTCGCCAAGCACGAAGCTTCGACTCATCTTCTTTCTCACACTTTCACAATTACAGCCGTAAAATAATGACACACACACACAAAGTATAGACTGATAATCCTCTCGGGCGAATCGGAGATAAGGCGGGGCCGAGTGGAATCAATTTTGGAATTGGATGAGAAGCTCGATTGTTAGAAGAAAAGAGCGAACATCATGGGGCAGGTTGAAATACCCCATAGATGGCTGAGATACACGGTGTTAGGACAACCCTAATGCCAAGAATACCAAACTAATATAAAACACAAATGGTAGTGGGCCACTCAGTATAACCCCGTCTAGCGGTAAGTTACCGCTCCATGTATCGTCAGCATTAATGAAATCGACGATCAGGAACAGTTGGCCTCGCCATTTCCCAATGGATAACATCCATTGCCCTGAGTTACGCAAGGAAAACCCTATCGCATTAGTTAGCATTGTGTCCCCGTATAGTAAAATTTCCAAAATAAAAGGGTCGCTGGACGCTTCTCCCCTTCTTCGTGCGTAGAGAGATCATGATACATACACTAGTGCATACGTATTGATATTCCGAGTCTTTGCCATTCCCGAGGCACCATCCTGGCTCACAACCAACCTACGTGATCAAATTTGATTAGCTAGGTTTTTCTAAGCCAGTGGTATACTGACCCTATTCTCTGGAGTACAAGCTCCCACGGAAGCAATCCCACAATTCTAATAAATAGAAAATTGTTAGCCAGTATTTCTGTAAGTGCAGTATAAACGATGGACTGGTCTGGGGTGGCATACAAACCAGCCAAAGGTGGTCGAGAAAATAGAGAAGAAAGCGACTAAAGAATGGAATCTCATCGCGGATATGAGGGAATCTCAAGTTTACTAGAAGCTAGAAATCTTTTTCTTAGTCAAAACAAATTTTATCTTCGTAAGGATTAGATGGGTGAGGAGTTGTCGTACCTTTATAACCTTCTAAGGTTTGGTAGCCGCCTAACCGGGCATATACCAGTTTTGCAGAAAGCAAAGTAGAAGTGATAGAACGAAATGATTATCACTTCCTATTTCGCTCTATGCTTTAAGGAAAATGCCTCAAACTAAGACATATAAAATTCCCACCAATCAGAATAATTACCTTGCTTAGAGTTTTTTAGTGGTATTACGGTCTAGGGGCCGATCTGTTAGCTAGTTGTAAGCTTGCTTAACATTATCAGATCGTACGATATCCGTACATGCTACTACTGAGGGAAAAAATTGAACGTGTTAATTGAAGTTGAGTGGCTTGACGGAGTTTGCCCGCAAGAATTACAACAAAAAGCGCCACAGTACCTAAAGTATGTATTTATAAATCCTTCACAAAATACCAATTACTTTGAATGCAGGGATACAACCTCTCACTCACGGAGCCTAATGCGATTGGATGTTGGCGAGCTCACATGAATGCGTTGAACAAGTATAGTTGACATCGTATGTTTTCTGTGTCAGATCATTCTATCTAACTGCCGTGTGTGGGTAAACTAGTGTTCTTCTAAACTCATATTCCACTGCCTTGATACTGGAAGATGATGCCGACTGGGACGTGAACATCAAGGCCCAACTCCGGGAATTTGCCCGTGGCCTGCACTCTCTGAAAGGGAACAGCAACCATCCAAGCAGACTCCGTACGGAGCTGATTGGGGTCTTCTCTGGATTGGGGGATGTTCATCAGGCCCTGATACGAATGAAACTCGATACTACGCCATACCTGATGACCCAACAGTCCCGAGTGTCCAAAATCGAGGCACATGGTCCGGTCCCCTTTGTAGTGATATGAGGCTGGTGCAGTCCAGGAATCAAGCCGCACCATCGGAATTAATTCCCGCATTGTCTATACGAAGAACCAAATTGATTTTCAATCAACTTGATCTTCTCATTGTATATAGCCCCAGTTATTCCCTCTGGCACAAGAACAAAATCTCCCTTTGAACTACAACAAGAACAAGCCTTCTCTGTGCCTTTCGACTCGGGAAAAAAGAAATCGCTCTTCCCTGATTATATAAGCATATATGATTCACTCTGACTAGCGGACTCGCTACGGAATATCTCGAGCTGCCGTGGGGATATGGAAACGCCTTCATCGAAAAGCGATGTGGGCGGTACAGTCTGGTGTAATGTCGAAAGACATTTCAATACGCATGATAAACCTCTGAAATCTGGTTATTATTTTAATATAAAGATTCCTTTTAGCCGGTTCGCAGGATTTCCGTACATACGTACTAGTACTGAGGGGACAAATTGAACGAGTCTGACTGAGAACTAACTAGGAGATCGCTGTTGAAGGCATCTCATAGCCTCAGGGGCTAGTATGGCGTGTTGCGACGCGGGTATTCTGAGCTGATCCGGTTTACCATACAAAAACATACGGAGGAGCGGGTAGTCGCTGAATCAGCTTGTCCTTAGTGGTAAAATACTACTTCTCAGCTTGATATAATCCTCCAATGGGACGCAGGGAGGTACTGCATCAAAGCGGTAATTAAGACCGATTCCTTAGCACTGTTATGCAGCTGAGAATGAGATGGTTCTTAGGAGAACGAAAGCGGGCCCTTTATACACTTCCAACCTTGGTTTCTGGGGTATTTCCAAATGACACTTGCACCTTCGCGGGGTCGCTTTTGGAATAAATTCGATGCTAAGCTTTTCCAAGCTTTCAAGGCGGTGAGAAAGAGGGGTTGTGGGTTGGTCTGGGGCGAATGGTTGGCTTGATGGTCCCATCCTAGACCCACTTGATGACAACTTGTGAATAGGAGCACGCAGCCACTGGGCGAATACGCCGAGCTTAGCCTCCAACTAAGTGGCGGCCCAACCTGAACCCCCCATTCAAATTCACATGGTCCTACTCCGGGCTTCTCAAGTAGGGTGATTTCCAGCTGCTTGAGAATCATGATTATTGTTGTAAATATTTCTGGACAGACACTTCATAGAGTGAACGACCATTCAACATTCTCAGTGGCGATACGAGGAAAGCACCAAACAGTACTACGTACTCGGTGTTGGTTCCAAGATGATCACTGGGAGGAGTAAGTCGAGGATCAAGCGGTCGGGTCTCAATTCCAGCCGCCAGGACGAGATACGAGAGGCGCCACGCAAGTGGACGCAGCCTCCGAAGGCAGGCGACATGTCCGAGACGTGACTCTGCCGTGCCGAGCGGTTCAATGTTAGTTCCAGAGTCTTCACCAGCGCGTTCGACCATTCCTAGGTGGCTGATGCTCGGGCGGTAGCCCATTTCATCCAAACCCGGGGTGGGGCCCCGAATTTCGGACTATTATGTTGACACTATAACATAAAATAAAAAATGAATTTGACATTTGAGACGTGGATATATTTATCTCCATGGCTACACATAGTAAATTTTCTATACTGCACTGGTAGTTCAGAAATGCTATCTAGATTATTATCGGCTTAATATCGTGTCCAAAAAAGTCACCGTTATTGAGATCCGGAGTTGTAATTTATCGCATTTTGCATTGTGTTTTGGGGTACGATATTTTGAAGGGCAAAATGCGCCTCCAATCCACTACACTATCCGAAGCTGACGCCCGGTCCGTGTGAGCTCAGTCGGAAATTGCAGGAGAGGTATAAATTCAAGGGTTCACCTAGCGGGGAGTCACATTTCTGCCACCATCCTTTCCCTGACACTTTTTGACAGAGTTTTCAGCCTTTTTTCAAGATGAAGTTTCTGTATTATATTCAAGCATTTGTAATTTCAAGTTACAGTCATTGGCATGGTTAGCTCTGTTCGACAGAGACAAAATCTCCTTTCCGCCAGGGTTGGCAGATTCTATTGGGTTTTATGGTGGCTTGGTTGCGACACAATTTCTCGTAAATAAGCTTTCAATGGAGCTTCCTTTCCTTCCCATCTTGGGAATTCGACAAAGTTTGATTGCCGGTATTCGGAGATTGATCGATAGTCATTCTTCAGGTTATCTCGGACCTCCTCGAGGATATGCGCGTGGGGTCTCCTCATGATTGAGGCCCACCTTATGCTATCAAGGAGCAAGCTTAAGTACAACCACTTACTCAAATTCCTGACCAGTACAAGTGCAATAAAAGGTGTTCATGGGCCAGGTATGCTGGGCCTGCTTCTTTCCTTATTTACCAGCTGTACGCTGGAGCGGTTTAGTCCGTATATACCATTTGTGCGGCCGTCCCAGGGAAGCATCATCACACACAGGGAGCTACGATGGCTGCATGTCTGCAGGCTCTCGCTACTGATCTCTCCATCTAAACCCGGCCAGTCGCGAACTTCACAAAATAAATCAAATAATCAATTGCAATGCCCCTAACACTGGAATGCAAAGCAATCGTCGGACGTCAAACACAGTTTTGAACCCAACAACAACCTAATAAATCCCATTCTGCTCCCGCCCCGCCTGTAACGCAAGCTCCAGTCCATCTGCCGTCTCCTCAGGCTTACTCAAGAAACCTGAGTGCGATGCATCAACGTGAAAGGTTACCGGGTTACCCAATGTCTGCGCAAAGCCCTCCTGGATAA